ATGTCCTTTTTTAAGCCAACTATTGAACTTTAACTTTGCATTTAAAACAAAGTACTCTGTGTGTGTGAGTGTTGTATGTTTTGCAGTGTTGTGTTTATATCTTCAAATATAGTTGCTAGAATTCTACAAAATACACCAAAGCACTAATCATAGGATTTTAATAGGGAATGGCTTCTTGTTTTTCCATTTTCTTATAAAATTTCACTAGGGTTATGTATTGTCTTATATTTCCTTACTAAAAACCTTTCCTAGTTTCTGCAGTATATCTCTCCAAACTTTCTTACTATGCTAAGAAACATATCACCAAGAATGTAAACACTTTTAATTTGCATTATTCTGAATCAATAAGCCCACCAAATACAGCTATGCAAATTGTTGGGCAAAAAGAAAAAGCTGTGATACTGCTCTAACTTGCCCCTCGCCAATGATGCTGGAAGGGGTACCTTTTCAAAATCTGCACAAAGGTCTTCCTTGTCCAGACATGTTTATTAGGCATAATATTGTCCTCACAGTACTGGGACATTCCTGTCTTCTAACATCCTTAAATGGGAAAACATTAACATTTTATAAGGCTTGATTATCCTCAGTGTTATCTTACAGTTTGTTCACATCAGGATCCAAAGTGTACACACTGCATTTCTGTAATATGCTTTTTATATGTAACAGTTTTCCCTCCATTCCCACTATCCCTCCACCCTGTACCATTTATTTGTGTGTAATCTAGCTATTCAATAACATTTCCCCTATTCAGAATTGGACTGATTTTTCCCTGTGGCTCACAGAAGTATATTACAAAATCTATGTTTGTTTTTTTTTAAAGATTTTTTTTATGCATCCTAGAACTGGGGTACAAGCACAAGTGTGAGAGGTGGGGTGAGAGGATTCAACACACAGAATGGGGCGCAGAACAGGTGGACAGACCGAAATACACTGCTGACGGGAGCATAGTCTATACTGAAAATGCAATGATAAATCAAAAACCTTACAGAATGGGTATAAAAGATAACACGTAAATAAAAAATAACATTTTTTAAAGATTTGTTTATTTATGCATACAAGAACTGGGGTACAGGCCAGAGGCGCTGGGGTGGGGGTAAGAGGATTCACCAGAGATGGAGTGGGGGAACAGAACAGATTGACTGAAAATACACTGCTGAGGGGAGCAGCAGGCAGGTCAGGAGAGGTCTGCGGCGCCATGTGGGTCAGCTCCCTGGCTGGGGATGGAACTCGTGCTGCAGTAGCTGCAGAAAGCTTTATAGTGCTGTGCTTTAATGAGCTGCACCACCAGGGAGAGCCCAAAAATAACAAATTTAAATAAAATTTGGTACCACAGTAATAGCCTGAACTGACCTATTCAGAGCCTGAACTAAATCTGTTGACTCTGAAAAGGTTTCAGAGAGGTGAAAAGAATTGAAGTTCTTTTTTGTATATCCACCACGAAACACCCCTGAATAAAAACTTGCTAACACCCAGCCTCAAAGTTGGAATAGCCAAAGTTTCTCTGAGTCAACTGGCATTTATTTCTTCACGTTAGACACCCACTCCCAAGGCTGTACCTTAGGTCATGTTCACACTGGAAATGCCCCAACCTCAAAAAGCATGAATTTGAGCATTCAGCTTTGTCTGACTACAGCCTTTAAACCTTCTACATTTTCACAACTACTTTACTTCATTAAGTTTTCCAGTTGCTTAGTCTCTCCCTTTTACTTTCAGCCATTTTTCTTACTGTGTTTTTCTAATATGTAATTCTAAAATTTGCTGTGTTTTTATATTTCTATTGTTGAAAATGTGTTTTCTTTCTGTATTAGATCACAACTTTCCTTAGAACAGATACTGGATTCTTTTTCTCAGCCTGTATTCTTAATACCCAAAACAGAGCTGACTCATAATAAGAATTTAGTAAGTGTTGGTGAAGAAATGGATAACGTATCGTTGTCATTTCCACCACCACCCCACAAATTTTCCAAAAGCAGAATCTATAATTTATCTGTATATTTCCTGTAATTCCTATCTGGGTATCTTACACAGGGATTCTCTGTTGCATTGTAAGAGACTGCATAAGCTATATAAAAAGTATTTTACCAAAATAATTTTGGTATTATTAACAATCATTAAAGTTAACCAAATAGTTATTAGGCAAATGTAAAACATGCTCATCTTGAAGGAAACAAAATAATAAAATAGAAAGCACTGGACAGAAGTGAGGAGGTATGCTTCAGTCTTAGTTTTGCCACTCTGTCATCCACAAATAACCATCTCTGTCAGTCTTAGTTTCCTCATTCATAAAAATAAGGTTTGACCAGAATTATATTCTAGATCATCTAAGATTTCCTAACATGCTATACCTCTTAAATATTTTTATTATAAAAATGATGCACTCAATATAAAAAAAAATTGTACATGTCCTTCTGAATTATTCAGCTAAAGGAAAATTCCCACTCTCCATCCTGTTTGCCTAAGTCACTCCCTAGATGTTTCCACTATCAACAGTTTGTTCTGTATTTTTAAGTGCTAAGACTCTTGATTTTATTTACCAACTGGGCAGGCCTGTGAATTTTAATGGAACCTTGACAAAATGAAAAGAGAACTATAAATATTTTGATTGCAGAGAGAACCATGAACTCAGTGGACCACCAGCAGAAAAAATTAAAACACGGATAGAAGTATTTAAAACTTCATGTGTAACTACCACCTCTGGCCCTTCAGTCCCCTGACCACTGACTATGCAAAGTAATGCGAACAAAAGGGGTATGACAAAAAACTTCCAAGGTGGGAAATTTTCTACAGAAAGAAATGTAGGAGGCATGGGAGTTGGGGGAAAGGAAAACAAATCATACTAATGTCACAACCACAGAGGATGTAGAAAGATTTTAAAAAATCATATAATCACAACTGTGAACAGCAAACACAATTCTGAAATATACTATGAGTTTAATGAACAGTCAATTGCAGAAAAATAATTGTTCTCCTACACTTCATTCTACTCAGACACAAATGCAAATTAACAGTATGTCCTTGATTTCCTTTCCAACAATATTCTTTGAAGATCTACATCTAAGTCAAACTAGGGCACGTACATATTATAAAAGTCAAAGGTGGGGCCTCCCTAGTGGCACAGAAGTTAAAGACACAGCACTATCAAGCTATCACCAGCTACTGTGGCATGAGTTCCATCCCTGGCCAGGGGGCTGACCCACAGAGTGCAGCAGACCTCTCTATTCTCACCCACCTCTCTCCTCAGCTGTGTATTTTAGTCAATCTGCCTTTTCTGATCCCCAAATCTTGTCTCTGATGAGTACTCTCACCCCCATACCTCTGGCCTGTATCCCAGTTCTTGTATGCATAAATAAATAAATCTTAAAAAAAAAAAAGGAATACAACTCAATAACTTGTCACAAGTCTAGCAACAATTCTAAGTTACCTAATGACAATTACGGCATCAAGCAATCAACTTAATCTGGTATTTTTACAGTTTAAATAAATACTATGGACAAAAATTAAGTCTACAATTTAGAGTTAATTTTGAGGAAGTGTAAATGATAATGTAATCCCATAATGTAATTTTAACACACTGGTGCACAGTATAAAGTTTGCCAAGAAGTTGAAGATAGTTAAGCTCAGAAACCAATCTGTAATATCTTCATAAAAGAAATAATGAGGGCCTCCCTCGTGGTACAGGGGTTAAAGTTTCAGTGCTATCAAGCTATCACCAGCCACCACTGCCTGAGTCAGAATCAGCACATGGTGCAGCAGACCTCTCGTCTTGCTCACTGCTCCCCTCAGCAGTGTATTTCAAGAGATCTGCCTGTTCTGCTCCTCACTCTGTCTCTGGTGAACCCTCTCACTGCCCCTGCACATCAGGCCTGTACCCCTGTTCTTGCATGCATAAATGAAAAGAAACCTTTCTAAAAAGTCAAGAACAACTGAATTCTAGATCTACAGGCTTTACCAAATGTGCCTCTCATCTCAAACAGAAAGGAGGAACTAAATTCATCTAGTTTCCCTTAGTTTAGAGGGAACAGTATTTCCTCACATCATAAAATTTGGCAAGACAGTCTTGCTTTCACAAGTCGATAGCCCAAGATAAGTTTTCAAACTTGTTCAAAATATCGTTATGAGAGTCTTTAAGCTGCTTAAAATAAGTGGTCATTACAGACATTACCATTCTGCGTTGGGTAGAACACAGCATAAGACTAAGTACAGCAGTACAATGGTTCTCAAACTCTTCTACTTCAGAATGTGAAAATGATATGACCTCTCCATTTTATGTCTCTTCCCAACAAATCCATGAAAACTCCCAAGTCTGGCATACATTACTTTAGGAAGCTGAAGGTCTTCAGCAATCACTAAGTCCAAAGTGCCTTGTGTGCCTTCTGCTACTTCTGGCTATGAAGATCCAGTGTGTTTCCACTTGAAGGTCAGTGAGCAAAAATTCTGAGGGAATCAGGCCCTGAAACCCCTTTAAAGTAATTCCATTAGCAAGGACAGTATACCAGACCTACTCAGCATCATCCCAAGTGGGCTTAGCTACTCTGTCCACTATCTCTACAAAATGTAGGTTTTTACATAGTTTACTGATACAAAAATCAGTGTCTGTAAGAAAACATAGCTAAGCTACAACATAGCTAAGATCTACAACTATGGTTCATAGTTGGTCTTGTAGTTCTCCACTACAATTTAGGTCTCTGTGTTTAAAAAAAAAAAAAAAACTAGAAAATTCTTTGCTATCCACCCAAAAATACTCATTTCAATTCTAAGGAGACAAAAATAACAACATCAACGTATACATCTACTTTCCCTCTTGCCAATTACCTTTCCACACCCAACTGCAGTGAGCCGTGGTGCTAACTACTATTCCAAAGGGTTGCTAAGCATCCCAAAACGGGGGTTCTTGGATCCTGATTATTACTATATAACAGAAAACGATCTCCGCGTAGACAGTCATCCTGGAAAAACGAGGCAGTAGTGAAGGCATCCTGTTACCTGTTGTGTCTACTTACCCTCAGTAACGTCCTGGGCGTTAGAAGTCCGGTCACTGGCTGGATCCAGTGCAACAGTTGCAAGGGAAGTGGTGACCCCAGACGTCTCACTCATAGGCTCGCTCCGACTGGTTTCGGGCACACTTTCCCGGGAGCTAAACCTCACCCGGGAACTGGACCGTGAGCTGAGGTCCGGGCTAGTGTCTGACAAACCTGGAATGTCATCGATCTTTGTTGGTGTGACCATGAACCGAACTGAGGCCATCTTGGTGGTGGTTTCTGGAGGATGCATTTTTCTTTTTCTTTATAAGGTCAAAGAAAAAAGGGAAACCCCGCAAAATCTTCCCACCTACTTTAATTATTTTTGATTGCAGAATCAAGAAACTTAAAAAAAAAACCCTCAATGACCTTGATTAACACGGCACAAAAAGACCCCAGTAAGAATCCATCTACTCAGAAGTCAAGCAGATGTCCTAGAGTGCGCACATACACTACCAGCAGCTGAAAAAAAATTTGAGGGAAAACAAAAAAAAAAAAAAAAGGAACAAGCCAATCTTGTGTAAGTTTGTCCGTAGCAAGTTATCTAGCCATCTCCCCTGGTCCAGGGCTGGGGGTCAGCGCCATGGTCTCAGCAGCAGGGAAAGCCTGTCTTCCCTCCACCACCTGGTTTGGGGAGAGATAGGTAGTTCTTTACTGGTAAGTGTCCCACGGCTCTAGTTGAGCGCCAGGCGCGCAGGCCCACCCTGATCCGGCGAATACAGCATGGATCAGACTGCGAGACGGTGTCCACCCGGCCACCTGTTGTGTATCAGGTGAATACCCCACAGGTCTGGCTAGGAGGTGTGTGCACAGCCGCCCGACGTTTTCGAGGCCGGTAATCCACTTGGGTCTGGTGGGAGAGGTGCGCATGCATAACGGGAGAAATAGCCCCCACTACTAGGTGGAAGAGAACAAGAGGGTGAGCAGACCAGGCAGGGGCAAAGCGGATTCCGCCGCCGAGAGGTGTGCGGGGGTGGCCAGCCCGCGCCGCCAGCAGAAAGGTCCCCGGGCTGTGGAAGGCGGCGGGGAGCGGGTCGAGACGGCTGGGACTGCAGCGCAGGGTCGTGCCAGGTCGTCGCTAGTCCATCGAGCCCTCAGCCGGCGCGCTGGGTTTCTCCTATGTGACAGGACCGGCAGCCCGCCGCCGAGAGACGCCTTCTCTCCTGAGGGCCGGGACGCAGCTCAGCCCCCGGCCGTCCTCGCTCCGGGTTCTAGCAGAGGAGGTGACGGCCTCGCCCGCCGGCGCGGGCTGAGCGGGAGGGGGCGACGGCGAGGGGAGGAGGCGGTCGCAGGTGCAGAATCCCGGCGCCAGCTGATGCGGTGCGCGCGCAGCTGTTGTTTACGAGCCGGTAACAGTTTGGAAGCCGAGGCGCGCGGAGAGCTCGGGGTGCCTAGGAGCGCCCCCTCCCCAGCCACACGCAGAGCAGCCGTTACGTGACCTCGCCGCCCCCGGCCCCGGGCCCGGCAGGCTGTGCCCGCGCCGCCGCAGCCCCTCCTTCCCCTCCCCGCTCGTTCCTCATTCGAGGTTAACGGTCCGAAAAGGAGCCTGGGGGAGCGGTCGGAGGGCGGCACCGTCCCGCCAGCGCCCGGGAGCCCCGCCCCGCCTCTGCAGCACAGGGAGAGGACGAAGGGCTCTGCGCATGCGCCTGATGAGGTCGCCGAGAGGCCGCGGGCGAAGAGGCAGGGCTAGAGGTGGGCGGCCCGGAGCACGACGGGAGTTGTAGTTGCGTGTGGGGGGCCTCAGCTGGGTACCGCAGGCGTTATTTTCCTCCTCGGTGCAGCTGTGTTGTATAAACACAGGGGTGGACGAGCTCCCTGTCCCTCTGGGCCTCAAAAATCTCTTTAACATGAGCTCTCTCAGAATATGCATCATTTAAAAAAATCATAAACCTGCCAATATATAGGTATGACCCGGACTAGTATTCTCATTTAAAAAAATCATAAACCTGCCAATATATAGGTATGACCCGATCTGGTATTCTCAGATTTAACAATTTTGCATTACTTTTTCTGGTTTTCCTGTCCTTAAAAAAAATGCCAGGCCCTCCCTGGTGGCGCAGCGGGTTAAAGCACAGCACTGAGAAGCTAAAGCCACTTCACATGAGTTCGATTCCCGCCTGCCCTGGAGGTGACCACCTGGCGAGGTAGACCTCTCCTGACCAGCCCGCTGCTCCCCTCGGCAGTGTACTTCGTCGATCTGCCTGTTCTGCTCCCCACTCTGTCTCTGGTGAAGCCTCTCACCGCCCCTGAGCCTCTGACCTGTACCCCAGTTCTGTATGTACAAATAAAATAAATCTTTTTTTAAAAAAATGCCAACTTTCACAATATTTATAGATAACAAATCATACTGTACAGCAGAAATATAATTTGTCAATTATACCTCAAAAGAGAAAAAAAAATGCTGCTTACTCTCTAATCAGTCTGAAATTCTCATTAAAGAAAATATTTTTTTAAACGTGAATGTGAGATCCTTTCTCTTGGCTCCTTTTCCAATTTTTTCTATACTAATGTTGCCGAAATGTTTTACTTAGCATATTTGCTTAATGCATAAATAAATATATTCAATAAATTTTGATGCATCAATGTTTTGTTTTAAAGTTAAAGCTTTGATCGGGGCATTTACATTTAACAATCAGGACTCTGACTTTGCCTGAGTCCTTACTCCTCTCAAGTGAACTCATGTTATCATTGATCATAGATTTATGCTGAAGACCTATGCCAGGAAAGTCTTTTATCAACTGGCATGCAACACCCAGAGTCCAGTTAAAAAATCCAGGTAAAGGGCCCTCCCTTGTGGCGCAGCGGGTTAAAGCACTGCACTAAGAAGCTTAAGCCACCTCCACATGAGTTCGATCCCCCCCTGCCCCGGGGGTGACCACATTGCGTGGCAGACCTCTCCTGACCCGCCCACTGCTCCCTCAGCAGTGTACTTCGCGGATCTGCCTGTTCTGCTCCCCACTCTGTCCCTGGTGAATCCTCTCACCCTCCAGCATCTCTGGCCTGTACCCCAGCTCTGTATGAATAAATAAATAAATCTTTAAAAAAAAAATCCAGGTAAAAACACGAGAAATAACTTTCAATAAAATGTAAACTCCTCAAGCTTGATTTCTCAAGCTTGATTTTTTAGAAAGCATGTGATTTAGGCAAACATCAAAAAGCAAGAAATTCACCTGAGGATTAAGCTTTTCCCTGAGACAACCCTAAGCATAGTTAACTTTAAAAGACAGGATTACAGTTAACATTAAAAAAAAAAAATCAGCATGAGGTGCCTTCTTTCTTGGTGGCACCAGGGTTAAGTGTCAGCACTATGAAACTATAAGCAGCCACAGCAGTACGAGTTCAGTCCCTGGCAAGGAAGGTGCATAGCAGATCTCTCTCCCCCATCACTGCTCCCCTCAGCAGTGTGTTTCTATAGATCCATCTATTCTGCTCCCCACTGTTTCCGGTGAACCTCTGCCCCCCTAGCCCCAATACCTGTGGCCTATACCCCAGCTCTTGTATGCATAAGTAAATACATCTTTTGTAAAAATTTAAAAATCAGTAACAGTATCATTTACTGGCTTTGGTACTAAAGAAAATTCCCTAGAAGATCCTTTTTCTAGTGATTTGAAGAATTCTTAACATCTCTTCCATCACAATCCCCGTAATTTAGATAGGATAACTCTTTAAAATCCCTCCTATCAAATCCTGAAAAACTATAGAATAAGCTAAGAAATAAAAAAACTGGTTGACAGGAAAAAAATTATCCCATTTCACCATTCTGACAAGCTTCAGTAATTAAATCCTGTCTTCTATTAACTATAACCCAACTCAAGAGACTTAATTTTTCTCAGTAGTCAACAACTATCCTGAACTTTTCTGCTAGGATATTCATATATCAGAATACAAGAAAGACATATCTACCTCCTTCTAGGGCCAATCTTAATAAACCAAATCTTCAAGTGATTTAGTGATTTATTGAAATCTGCGGCCCTGCCTGGTGGCACAGCACTGTCAAGCTAGCTGCTGCCACTGCAGCACAAATTTGGTCCCCAGACAGGGGACTGACCAACATGGTGTGGAAGACCAGTCCTGTCCTGCTCACTGTTCCCCTCAGCAGTGTATTTCAGTCAATCCACCTGTTCTGTTCCCCACTGTCTCTAGTGAATCCTCTCACCACCACCCCACCTCTGGCCTGTATCCCAGTTCTTGTATGCATAAATAAATAAATCTTTTAAATTAATTAATTAAATCTACTTGTAGAGTCTAAAATCTTAATGCAATAGAAAAAAGTTACATAACTTGAGTATAATCACCACAAATCAATTTTTAAATTAGTGGACTTAAGCAATTAGCATTCAAATCCAGTATCAATGAGATGTGAAAATGAGTTAATTTGACAAGAAAAAGAAGCTAACATTTCTTGAGTTTCTTGATGTAATATTTTGCCTCATTCCTCTGATCTCAAGTCCTAAGAAATCTCCAACGATTTTTTTTAACTAACCCCCAACCATAGCTTGAAAAACAACAAAATCACTGCTTGAATTTCTCATACCTCATTTTCTAGTTAGGATCCAAGTAGAGTTCCACATAGTAGTTAGCTACCCGGGAGGATATAAAGTTCAGTGTATGTCAGATAATTTCTTGATGGAGAGAACTAAAAGCCTAGGAATAGTTCCAGAGGGGCAGTAAACATTCATAAAAGCATTCCAATTTACAAAGATTGAAGTGTAGATATATTAATATCCACCACAAAACCCTATCAATTTTAGAGCTGGAAAAGAACTTAGAAAATGCTGAGAAAAAAATAGGACTAACCAGGCTGGGTGGCCTTAAGTTATACAAACAGGGATATCCGAGTCTTCTGATTTTAACTCACTGCCTCCCCCCTACATATTACTTTTCTATTTACCATCTATCTAATTACATTTGCTATTACTTTCCAAGCAACTCTTCCATTTTGAGTCAAAATTATCATCTCAAGGGGCAAGGATTATTTAAGTGACAACAGGGATATTTTCAGGGAATGCTAACAGTAGTGAAGAGTCTTTCTATACCTTTTTCCCCTTTTTTCCAACACTCTCCTATCAGCACAGCACTACTCCTGGAGTAATGACTTAATTTTTTCTTGCAAGTGGTCTTGAACCCCAGGGTACTCTACTCTCTCACCTTCCTCGCTTTTATTTTTTTAATTAAAACACAAAATAGAGCTCTTTCAAAACATTTTAATAACCTGGCAGTGGTTCAAAATATGAAACAGAGATTAGAACTTATTCCCTTCAAAGGGGATGCTACCATGATTGCCTCATACAAGTATGACCAAAGGCAATGACGAGACAGGATTACAGAGAGTAAAGGTGGAAAGTTTTCAGGCTCATACTCAAGACTCTGTTTTTTTACAGAACGTCTCTGAAGAGTAACAGGCGGCGTAAGTGACATGGTATTTAAGGACCCTCAGAGAACAGGACGCGGTTGCTGGGTCATGAGGACCTTGAAGCGTTTCTTGATAGTGATTCGGTGTCGAGAGTATTTATCATCTGGGGAGAAGCGAGCAGGATGGGCTGAGCAGGTCTGTTGTCCCAAGGGGTCAAGTTTCTGCTCGAGGAAGAAAAAGAGAGCATAAGCTCAGCAAAAAATAGAGGGACCACCCAATCACTGGCGACACATGAGAAACTGAGGCTAGGACGGGGCAGAGGGCAGCCAAAAAAAGGAGACAGGAAGACCGGAGACGACACGGTCAGATCACGAAGGATAGACTCCGGCTCCCACCACTCCAGGGCTCCGGTAGTCTGTGGTTCCCCTCACCCAGGTATGCAACTACATGATGTGTTTCAACCGCCCCTCCCACCTACATTTCTCGCCAAGCCTCTTTTTAACCTGTTTCCTCTTCTCACCTTCAGCGTATAGACCCGATCTCCCTGCTCGTTGAGGTAATACTGGAGAAACATCACCAGACCGAAGAAGCTACGATCCGTCCGCAACTGCTCCTCCAGCCCGGTCCGCGTGCCTCACGTGTTTCTCAATTTCCTTCCTATATAGCCGGAAGTCTTTTGTCTCAAAGCACGCCGGGAAATGTAGTCCATTCTAGACACTTTTTCCCCTGACCAGTAGAGGGGGCAGTAGTGCAGGACTGGGCCTAGTTGCAACCTACTTGCAACATTGCAGGTTTTGGCGCCTAGTTGCAACTTAGCAGACGTTCTAAGACTCATGGGGTGTGCCCACTGTGTGCCAGACACTGGAAGGCGTAGGAGGGGGGTAGGGATAGGCGTGGCTGAACATTGGTGTGTAGAACTCTTTCTTTACCTCAATAAGAACACCCACTTCTAAGGTAGTAGGTTTCTAGCTGCTGGGGAAACGAGGGCTGCAGGATTCAGTCCCCATTTATCTTAGGAAAGAAGGAAGATTTTCTTCCCTCCCCTGTTTTACGTCCGGTTCCCCACGCCCTATTTTAAAGTGTTGGCGGTAAAAGTGCATGATGGGTATTCAATGTTCTGTACAACAAAGAGAGCGTGAGGTTATTTCATGGAACTGGTCAAGTATGACTTAGTGGTCGAACCAAGATTCAAACTCAGGTCTCTTTACTAGAAATTCAGCGCACTTTCTTTACATGGTGAGTAGCTAATAATAGCATAAAATAGATACACCTCCTAACGGTATTTTCGAATTTTAAAAGAACGTAGAAATTCTCCTTATATAACTAGTTTAAAGAAAGAAAATTGGAGCCCAGGTACCTTTACAAAGATGATGGTTGCAGCGCTACTTATAATGCAAAAACGTTGGAACATATATTAATTTTATAACTAGAAAAACCTGAACTTTTTTTTAATATCGTTTGTACTTATTTATAATTGCATCAAATATCTCCGCAAAGATTCACAAGAAACATAATATGTGCTTCCTCTGGGCTAAAGAAATAGGCTCCAGAGGAAAGGAGTAGGAGGAGAATTGCTGCTTATTCCATTTTGCACAGTTTTGAACCCTGCTTGTATATTATCCATTAAAAATTTTTAAATTATTTAACCAAAATTTAAAACAAAGTAATGTAACAAACAGTAAGACTTATGGTCATGCGATTTTAGGCTGAATCTTCTGTGAACTGCAGAGCTAATGGGAGTGGGCTCTTGGGGGATTGCAGCCTGCAGGCAGCTTTCCAAAGGAAGTGATATGCACACAGTGATCTGATGCCCTCAGTCTTCTGAGACAATCCTAATTTTAAATATTTGGTTCCCTTGATCCTGTGCTCTGAAGTTGGTTCAGAACTATATCCTACAGCCAATATTGAGTTAAGTCGAGGATTTACCACAACTTGCTATTAATAGAAAGTCAGTTACAGACTGGGAGATAATGAAAGGTATTGTAATGATGAAGAATTTTATAGGGAACCAAGAGGTGAAATTATAATGGTTGGGAATCTGAAAAGGAATTTACAGCTTACCCTAAAAAGGTATGCAACAATCAGCAATCATATTGCCAGACTGCAGTTTGGAGAGAATTCCTGGTTATTCCCTACTTACAGAACGCTGTGTAACACTTCTCTCTACTCCCACCTAACTCTCCCCTCCCCCCACTGCAGAATGCCTTGAATCCTAGATTCTAGTTCTGTTTTAATCTATCTTTCTCTTCCCTTCCTTGGATCCTTGTGTATCTCCTGGAGCCAGGTTACTCTCTGGTTCCTGGACCTGACTTTCATTCTGGAGGCTTCTAGACAACCACGATTAGTGCCCAAACCTGACAGGATGGCTTCAGATGGAGGTAAGTCTACAAGTAGGAAGGGGTTGGTGGGGGGTTGTCCCTTTCACCTTTTCTCATCCTTGGAGACTCAACTTTGATACTTTACCTGGGAGCAAACCCTCTGGGCAGAGCAAGAGAGATGTGAGAACACTATACCCCCTAGGCATCACACATGTTGGAGGCCGAAATGTGCCAGTAGCCTGGAGGTTTGCCAAGGGAGAGAAGGCAGGTAAAGGCACCTTGGAGGAAAATGCTGGATACAGAGAAGGGATGGCATTTAGCAATTTACATCTCTGGAGTAGGGACCCCTTCAATGTGTGTTTCTGTGGGAGGGGACAGAGTAGAAATGGTGGCGTGTGTACAGGTGGCACAGAGCGGGTTCAAAGAGAAGACCCTAATTCTTGTGTCTTCTTCAGGCAGTGGGAGTCTGCTTTAGAATTTTCCTTTCAAGGACAGCGCTGGGTGGGTCCTCCCTGGTGGCCTGGTGGCACAATGGGTTAAAGAGCAGCACTGTGAAGTGATCCTCAGCCGCTGCTGCACCAGTTCCATCTCCGGCCAGGGAGGTGACCTACAGGGCACAGCAGACCTCTCCTGTCTCACATGCTGCTCCCCTCAGTAGTGTGTTTCAGTACATCTGCCTGTTCTGCTCCCCACTCTGTCTCTGGTGAAGCTTCTCACCAGCCTCTTCTGCTGGCACCTCTGGCCTGTACTCCAGTTATTTTTTTAAAGATTAATTTATTTATGCATACAAGAAGTGGGGTGGAGGTGAAGGGGAGAGGTCTTGGCTAGAGAAATATTCATTGGGGTTATCTGGTTCCAAGTCTGTACTGTCCTGCCAGCCCAACCCCAAAGATAGATTCTAAATTCAGGAAGCAGTTGACCTTGATTTACCACATTCGGTGAGAAGGGAGGAGAGTTGGGACTTCCCTGAGGTGCCCCTGGGTTTTCTATCTTTTGTGGAATCCAGGCCATTAGACCTATTCCACTGTGTTCTGTACTTAGTGGAACCCTCCTAGCCCGCTGTTCTGTGATGGAGGTCCCGAATTTGCTCGTATTCCATTCTTTTCCACAGTCGGAAGCAGAAGCTGAGCGTTGTTTGTTTGCCAGTGAAATATTTTTTATAAGAGGGCAAAAAGAGGGACAAAAGATGGTGCAAGGGGTTAAGCTGCAGCACTCTGAGGCTGTCCACAGCCACTGCAGCATGAGTTTGATCCCCAGCCAGGGAGGTGACCTACATGGCGCAGCAGACTTCTCCTGTTTCACCTGCTGCTCCCCTCAACAGTGTATTTCACTCAGTCTGCCTGTTCTGCTCCCCACTCTGTCTCTGGTGAATCCTCTCACCCCCTGCATCTCTGGCCTACACCTCAGCTCTTGTATGCATAAATAAATACATCTTAAAAAATAAAAGAGGGAGGGGGTTAAGAGTGGCATGAAGATGATCTGGTATTATTAAACTCCCAGGAGGAGATATGTGTCCTGGTTAAGTACACATTTTGTGTATTTATCCTTGGTCTCTTTGACCAGGTTCTGAGTAGCTGTTCTTTGGCAGGTACTATTTCTAAATTCATTGTCACTGCCTTATTCTTAGTGTACCCCTAATTTCTGGCATGAAGCACTGTAATCAGAATTACCTACTGTTGCACTGCCTAAGTTTAACTTGTCCAGCAACTGCTTACAGCGCTGGAATCCAGCCCAATGTCTGCACCGCCCTCCCCTGCACAGCCCCTGGCCCTTATGTCTCCTCACTCATGACAGCCATATCACACAACTCCTGGGAATCAACATCTAATAGCACACCTGCCTGCTCTCTCCTATGAGAGAGCGGGGGTGGGGGTAGAGGGGGTGGTTTGGATGTTCAGGGGATGGATGGTAGGGAGAAGAGAGGTCCCTGCATGCTGGATGGCATTTGTTATGGGGTATGAGTGGTAATTCATACCACTCACACTGTTTGTTACCTAGGAATTACCTAGGGTGGTAATTCCTAACTAAGAGTAAGGTCGCCTTTGCAGAGTACATACCTGCCGGCTCCATATCCCCTCTCCCACCCTCACCCCTTACCTGTTGAGGCTCAGATTCAGAGTCTGTACAAACTGAATGGAACTGGATGACCTGTCCGATCTCCTTTCTCCTCCCCCACTCCTTCCTTTCCTTTGTCTCAACAGCCTCTCCGTTGCCTGGACCTGACATGACCATGAAAGCTGGCACTGCCCTGCCTTCTTTCACTGCGCTTCCTTTACCTCCACCTGCTCCTGGCCTGCCAGACCCACCACCCTGGGAGCCTCCTTCGCAGCCCCCCATACCTTCAGCATTCTCTCCTGGCAACCCTCTGGTGCTCTCTGCTTTCCCCAGCCCATTGTTGGTGACAGGGGATGGGAGTCCAGGCCCCAGTGGGGCTGAAGCTGGCAAAGTCATTATCAAAGTCAAGACAGAAGTGGGGCCAACTGAATCCTCTCAAACTCAGAACTTTATTCTTACTCAGACTACCCTCAATTGGATTGCCTCAGGTGCTCCTTGCGGGGGCCCTCCAGGTCCCCCCCCTCGATTTGTGACAGCCTCAAACGTGAAGACCCTCCTGCCCACTAAGGCTATCGGGGTGAGCCAGGAGGGCCTCCTGGGCCTTCCTCCTCAAGTTCCACCTGCAACAGCCCAAATGGCCCCCACTGTGTCCCCGGAAAAGACTTGGCTAGGGACAACCGGGGAAGCAGGTCCTGAGGCCACTCAACCCAAGCCCTCCCTGGGTGACCTCTCCCATACTTCCAAGGGTGTTTATGAGAATTTCCGACGTTGGCAGCGCTACAAAGCTTTGGCCCGGAGGCACTTGTCTCAAAGTCCTGATGCAGAAGCCCTTTCCTGCTTTCTTATGTAAGTGGGGAGATGGATCAGTTATCCTGGGGCTTTTAAATAAGGAGGACTTGGATGAGAACTTTTAGAAGAAGTGAGACTATTTAGGAATACTTAAGAGCAGGTCCTGCAGGTAATGGTGATATTATAAGAGCTCAAAGCAGGAGGAGGATGATGATAACCTCCACCTGACCTCCCAGGGTATAACACGCTTTCAGATGTCTTCTCAATAAATTCTCAGAACCCTGAATTCAGGCAAGTGTTTTTTGGGTAATCCACATTTGCAGACAGAAGGTTGAAACACAGATTTTCTGTCCCAAAGCAAGGAAAGTGATTGGATTTAAGTCTCTGACACCAAGTGCCAGCATCCCCCCCATTTTATTTTACTGCTTTCTGAAGGGGAGTTGAGCTGTCCACACTGGCCAGGATGAGGTGTCCTGAGCTCTGACCCATCCTGTGGCAGAGGAGGACAGTTGGTGCCAAGCAAAGGACAGGTGGTGCCTTCCCCTCCCCTGCTTTATTCAGGTTGAACCAGTCCAAGGGCCTGGGCTCTGCACCCTTCACTAGATCTGTGATGCTGGCCATGACATTTCATATCTTTCTTCTTGGTTTTCTCATCTGTAAAGAGGATAATTATACCTCCTTCTGAGGGTGCCGAGATGAAATGAGTTAATGTAGGTGAAGTGTTTAGTAAACTGCCTGGCACAGAAAATGCCTTATTAAGTGGTAGTTGCTATGATGATGATCTTTATTATTATAATTATAAAAAGATAATCTAGAAGAGGGAAGGAACCCAGAAAAGGCCAAAGTGATGTTACACTTAAAGTGGATGTTTAGCCAGGGAGTCTGGGGTTACAGGCTGTGTATTGTGTTTATAAAGCAGAGTCAATTAATCCTCTGGGCCAGTTTTCTTGTTCCCCCCAAACCCAGAGCTCCTCTCAATTGGACTGTATCCCTCACATTTTGTATAAAGCACTAGGTAACACATGCCGTCTTTCACTAGACTTTTAAAAATGTACGTGTTGTTCCGGATGGAAAGTTAAGGGTCTGGAAGTCCAATCAGAAGTGAAATATGACAGGGACTGAGGAGCATGTTAGATCTGAGAGGGTCAGGGGTGTGGGTGGAGGTGGGTGTCAGGAGAGGTGAAGGGGGTACACTTGTAGAATGTGACTGACCGGTGTGAATTTTAGTCCAGTGCTTCGTTCCCTGGCCCGGCTGAAGCCCACCATGACCTTGGAGGAGGGACTGCCGAGGGCCGTGCAGGAGTGGGAGAGAACCAGCAACTTTGACCGGATGATCTTTTATGAGATGGCAGAAAAGTGAGTCTGGTGAGAGGGTTGGGGCAGATAAGAAAAGCTTAATGTGTGGGGACATCTGGAGCTTTGCTACTTCCTTCACCATGTAGAAGTGCTGTGGGTACAGATCTTGGGGCTACCACTCCTCTGGAAATAGTTGCTCGGGTATGTTTTATTTATTTAGGCCAGAGGTGCAGGAGGTGAGAGGATTCCACAGAGACAGAGTGGGAAGCAGAACAGGCAGATCCACTGAAATACACTGCTGAGGGGAGCAGTAGGCGGGACAGGAGGTCTGCTGAGCTATGTGAGTTAGTTCCCTGGTGGGGAATCAAATTCATGCTGCAGTCCTGCAGTGGAGCTATTAAGCTGGAGGTAGCTTAATAGCACTGAGACTTTAACCCCCGTGCCACCAGGGAGCCTCTGGCACAGAAATTGTTGAGCCTGCCCTCCCAGGCAGGGACTGGCTCTTGAAGAGGAGTGGTCTGTTTTCCTGGCTCAGAAAAATTTCTGATAAAATCCTTGTAATGGCACAAAAAAACAGATCAATCTTCTTCTGCTTCCTGGACTAATAACAACTCTGGGGGAAATTTTTTCACCCAACCTTAACTTCCATTTTCTCCCCCCAAATCTCCTGAACTCATACAGTCTAGATTTACCCTTCCAGGGCCTCAGGACTCCTGGATCTCAGCACTGCCCCCTGGTGGCAGCTGCCACCCTTGCCATGTTTCAGGATCTCAGCCCTTCATGCTTTTCCGCAGGGCAAAAGAGGCCTGGAGGAGGTGCCTTCATTAGGGATCCTATCAGGATGTGCCATAGATAAGTCTAATTGACTTCAGCAAACCTGTATTAATGGCTGCCATATGCCTGGGTGAAATAGGGGTGGAAGAGAAGCGAAAGCCACAGCTCTGTTCTGGAGAATCTGACAAGCGCCAGATGGTTCATTTCTTAGCAAGCTTTCCAAATGGCCTCTGTGGATGAAGGGAAAGGGACTAGTGGTGACCTCGTAAGATGCTTCCAGAACTGCTATTTGGCTGTCTGTGAGCAGCTCCCTCTTCAGTGACTGACTTATGAGCAGTTTTGCCTAAATGAGGGCACATCCATTCTTGGCTATGCTCAGCACTGCTGGTGCCTGAGTTCCTGATGGATCTGTCCTGAGCACTGCCCTCCCTCATCCTTTCCAGGTTCATGGAGTTTGAGGCCGAGGAGGAGATGCAAATTCAGAACACACAGTTGATGAACAGGTCCCAGGGCTTGCCTCCTGTGGCCCCTCTGAAACTTGATCATCCAGGGCCCTCTCCGGCAGAGGCTGGCCAACAGCCTGGTGAGCCTGGCCAGCAGCCAGGTGAGTCTGCCCAGTTCCAACAGGAGTCCTAAGCCAAAGTCAGAGGCCAGTTTCAGGTTGGGAAGACTTTGCCTTCGCTACCATCACCTTCCCTCTAAGAAGCAGCACTTGACGTTCTAAACAGGACAGGAGAACATCTGGGTTCTCCAGCTCTCCTTGTCCCAAAGCAGGTTTTGATCTTTGTTCAAATGAACCAAATACTCTGTCACCAAGACGGTAGATAAGGCACATCCTACAACCTAAGAGGAGACTCCTTGGGTTTTCATGGCGTTCAAGGTCCCTCATCCAGAGATTCCCTCTTTCAGACTCTCCAGCTTCTCAATCTTTCCCACACCTGGCACTGTTTCAGGTTGACCTGGTCCAGGCTAGAGCCGTTTCCATGTACCCAACTGCAACCCTTACGTAGGGTTCAGCTGTAGCCGTGGTGAGTGCCACTTCCACGTCTCCTTTCCATCTTGCCCCTTAGCGTATATTCCCAAGAAGGCGGCATCCAAGGCACGGGCCCCACGCAGGCGGCAGCGCAAGGCCCAGAGGCCTGCAGTGGCCGAGGCGCCCAAGGAGATCCCACCAGAAGCTGTGAAAGAGTATGCGGACATCATGGAAGGGCTGGTAGGGACTGACTCAGCCTCTGGGAAGTCAGATGGAAGACAAGAAGAGGAAGAACGGAGGCAGGAGGAGGAAGGGATGTATCCAGACCCAGATCTCCTGAACTACATCGATGAGCTGTGTTCTCAGGAGGTCTTTGTTTCCAAGGTGGGCTGGGCCTGGATGTCTGGTTTCAGTAGATCCAGGGGTGGGAATTCGGGGAATCAGAGATCTCAGGTTCTGCCAGAGGTACTTAAGAACTAGGTGGTCTTCTGTATTGAGAAATGCTGTACACGCACATGTATAGCTGGTGGTGGACATGGTGGACCTTCGGGGGGAGGAGAGTGGGCAGTGGGGGTGGATTTATGGCTTCTTCTTTAGAGCCTCTGGCTCCCAGGTTACCTCCTGTCCCCTACTCACACCACTTTTCCTTCCGTTCCCCAGGTGGAGGCTGTCATTCACCCTCAATTTCTAGCAGATCTGCTGTCCCCAGAACAACAGAGGGACCCCTTAGCCTTAATTGAGGAGCTGGAGCAAGAAGAAGGACTCAGTCTTGCCCAGGTAAATCTGGGAGGGAGGAAAATCTGAATAAGAGCGTATGATTTGATCTAACCCTATATTGTCTTGGATGATATGACTTCTAAAGGTGAACTGGGGCTTTAGGTGCAGACAAGTAGGCAAGGGACTGTGGAAATGCAGAAGAGAGTAGTATAAGGGCTTAAAGTAGGGGAAGGAGGGCCAAGAAGCAGGAGAGGGTCCAGCTGTCATTGGTGTCATCACTTAAGCCTCATACTGGTATCATCTGCCCTGCTCAGGTACCACCTCCCCACCACCCACTCAGCCACCTTTTCTGATAAGCATGTTGTTTGTTCTCCTAGCTGGTCCAGAAGCGGTTGTTGGCCTTGGAAGAGGAGGACGATGCAGAGGCACCCCCAAGTTGCAGTGGAGTTCAGTCAGACTCCAGTCCTTCTGTTTCTGATGAGGAGGAAGATGGGGGTGGGCGGCTTCGGCCCTCACCTGGGTCTCGGGGGGCCGGGGGCACCGTTCGCCTTGGAAAATCTGCTTCTCCAGGAAATAGGGCAAGAGAAGTGCATGGTGGGCAGGGGCGGGCCTTAGATGGTCTGCGGGGGATGCACAGAGATGGGAATGCTCTGCTGTCCTTCAGCAGCTGGGATCCGCAGGTAGAACTCGAAGTTCCACAGGGGACTCAAGGGCCCTTGGCAATGTCGCGAGGGTCTGGGAAGGTTATCTGCCAGGCATCTACGCAGCAAGTTGAGCACCTGGGCGGGTCCAGGTCTCGCGAGCGCTCCCTGGTGGCTGAGAGGTCCTCTAAGTCTTTGTCCCTTTGCTGGCAGGAGGGTCCCCCCCAACTTGAGATAGTTCCCCCTTTGGATGTTGGACTCACAGAGCTGGCTTCTCCCCAAGGACAGGGGCTAGAGAAACAGGTGCTGATGTTGCAGAGTGAACAGCTGGAGGGTCTTGAAAGACCTCCGCAGGGGAAGAAGCCGATAGAGGCACCTCAGGAAGGCTCTTCAGGACCCATGTGGGGAGAAGACAGAGGTCCTCCCATGGTTCAGAGCTATGATCAGAGCCCTTCCGCTGGAGCAGCTGAGGCTCAGGTCAGGGATGGGGCCTCTCTCAGTCCAGGCTTTTGGCTGAGAGGTGGGATGGATGCCACAGGCCTGGAGCTGCCCTTGCAGATTGAGGAAGTCATAGACAACTTCCATGACAGGGTGTGTGTAGCTGAGCACCAGGGAGGCTGCCCGGCACTGGGTTCCAGAAGAAACATTTCTCTGGGTCCCGGAGAGACCACCACACCTGAAGATGAAGTAGATAGTGCAGTTCCCTATGGAGGCACAGATGCCATAGTAACCCTAGAAAAGAGAAACTACTGCAGCTTGCCAGGACCACTGAGGTCCAACAGCCCAGCCGTGAAGCCTAAAGATAGCAAAGAGAGCCCTGAAACTACAGAAAAACCCAGTGTTCTGTGGGCTGAAGGTTGCTCCTCATTGCTGGAGAGCAGAATTGATGCCTCCACACTGGGAGCTTCCAAAGAAACCCTCCAACCCACATGTCAGGGCAATATCCTTATCCTGGGGACCCAGGATGTCTCTGCTTTTCTGGAGCCCAGCCAAGATGGGGGCATTGGCAACAACCTTATTCCCTCTCAGCTGGAAAGCACAGAACACATCAACACACTAGATGTTAGAGATGCCGGGGGCCTCCAGCTAGGGGAAGAGGAAGCCAGCTGCCCAAGTTTTAATTCTTATGAACTGCAAAGAGAGGGCAAGGAGGATACAGACTCATCTCAGCCCAAAGACCCTACTTTCACACTAGGAAATCGAAAGTCTTATGCACTCAGGACCCCCAAGTCAACATCTCACCAGAGCCTTGGACGCTCTTCCCCTAGATGGGGAGCCGAGGGCGCCTTAGTTCCGGGAGAGACGTCTCCTGTTAATGAAACTCGCAGTTCTGCAGGTGGGGCCAAAGGAGAAGAGGAGGAGGAAGACGAGGAACTATCTAATTTTGCTTACCTTTTGGCCTCTAAACTTAGCCTATCCCCACGGGGGTTTCCCCTTAGCCCTCACCCTACCTCAGGCCTGCCTTCAGCAGTTCAGGGTGTCCAGAGAGCACCCCGTTCCCTCTCTGCGGAGGCAAGAGGCCTCGGCCATCCTCCATATCCAGTAGCCAAGTCTGGGAAGCGAGGCCTAGTTGAAGGTGCATCTGCTGCTGCTGAAAAGAGGCCCTACCCAGGAGCTGAATTTTTGGTCTCTGGAGAGAAGCCCCTGACTCTTGGAGTAGGTAGATCTTCCCAGCCTCGTAAAAGAAGGCGTGATAGTTTTGTTACAGGCAGGAGGAAGAAACGACGCCGTAGCCAGTAGGGAGCAGTGGGACTGCCCTGCCCCAACTGCCCATCCACCAAAGTGGCCCCAGGACAGGTTTCACCCTGACTACACCAGATTTGTTCTCAGCTTTTTTTTTTTTTTTTTTTTTTTGGTTGTTTTGCAAGAGGCGAGGGTGGGGCAGGAGGTCACACTGGTTAGATTGGTGTTGGTGTAGGAGGTAAGGGGCAAATAAATACCTTTGGGACGAGTTGGGGGGAAATAAAGCTTTGTTGTTGAAAATGCTTTCACGGTGCCTTTTTGTACACATCTTGCAGGTAAATGGGGTAAAAGGCTGTTAAGATGGGACAGAGGGGAATAGCTTCATATTTGTGGGATCAGATGCCATTTCAGCCTCATCGAGGTTCCCTGATAAGCCCCAGTATTGAGGATCCCTTCACCCAAAGCCTGGGCTTGGGCTTCTCTGCATAACCTATCGTTATCTTTCAGTCTACAGGTAGAGAGGTATTTTTATTTACCTGTCGGGTCTCTGGGATAGATGCCTAATTTCCTGTATCTAATTAATTTTTCATAATTCTGTCTAGACACAGCACTTTAGGAGTCCTTATTTTCTTCCCTGAAAAGAGGCTGGAGAAAAGGGACATAAATGTCCTTTATGCATCTCACAGCAGAAAAACAGTCCTCTGTGGTTGCAGGGAGGCTGTGTTTCAACTGACACAGCTCTCTGCTAACGCTGCTGGAGATGGGGATCAATCCCAGTAGGATGATTAAATATGGAATAGCAGTTAAGCTATTTTTCAGTCTCTAACGAGGACAGAACAAGAGGGAATAGGCTAAAAAGAGGTTCACGAGGAAGCCCGTTAAAAGGCACGTATACAGGGTATGGTGCAGGCGAAGATGTGAGAGCCGCATGGTTTCTGTGCAGGAAAGAACCCTGTCCCATTAAAAGTGAGGTGTCTTCACCCAGCTATGGCCAGGACGACTGACCCTGGGGAGCCCCCAGTGGACTGCCCGCCATCACTAATTCCTTTCCTTCCCTGCTAATGAGACCACAGTGACTGTACTTCTTTTTTTAAATAGATATAGATATAGATTTATATTTATATATAAAATAGTTTCTTACAAAAAAAACCAAACAAACATAAAATGAAAACCAACTTAAAAAACAAACAACTATAACAAAAAACCAAGCAGGAGCAGAGATGGGCTTCGGGCCCAGGGGAGGTCCCGGTACCGCCCTGAGTCTGCGGCCGGATGCGCGTGGGGGAGGCTGAGGCGCTCAGTCGCCCTTCTGCTTGGGCGATTGCACAGTCCCGTTGGCCAGAGCAGGGGGGCTGCCTGGGGATGAGGCGTTTGGTATCTGAGAGGGGCGCAGGTAGGTGCTGAAGAGCTTCCCGTGGAGCGGGTCGTGAAGGGAGAAGTCCTGGAACTGACCTGCACAGGTGGAGGGGAGAAGGAGGTAGAGTAGGGTGGGGAGGAGGAAAGCCCCAGAATGTGAGAGGGCAGCGCGCCCCTGTTCCTCCGTGCTCTGCTTCACGTCTCAACCCCAAGTCTACATCCTCTTTCCCTTTCCAGCCTGTCCTCTGACATTCTTCCCCCCAGCATGACCAACCCGGATGCCCCGCTATCTGGTGTGCTCTTCTCACGGTCCTGGGGCTGACTGCACCCAAAAGTGCCCACCCACGGGCGAGAAGGCGGTGACTCACAGAAGGACAGGCCTTGCTGGGGTCCCGCCTGGCACAGCTCGGCATGCAGAGAGGCGGCGGCCGGGCGGGGTGAGCCCAGCAGCAGGTGCAGGATAGTGCTGAAGCCATCTCTGTACAGCAGGCGGCCGGGGTCCTCTGCTCGCTCCTCAGCAAAGAGCTTGGAAAGAAAGAGGGGTGCAAGTCAAGCGCTCCACATGCCACCCTCCCACACTGCCCGGCGGCTCTGCCAGACAGGCCCCTCACCGACACCCCGCTTCATGGCTGCTACCCCCTCAGGTACATCCCCATGCAGACACTTAGGGCTACTTTGTAGTTCTAGACAATGTCATCCTGAGGTGGATGCTGAGCCACTATTCTTGAGAAGCCACTGGGTACAGACCACTCAGGACTGTGGGAAGGGTGAGCACAGGCACCTGTTCACTCTCCAACCCCTGGTACCTCAAAGGCCAGGCGAGTCAGCTCCTCCAGGCTCCGGCTCCTATCCAGAGCTGCCAAAGCGAGGGCTACATCTCGGAAATCCACCAAACCCTTGGCATCCTGGAGGACGAAACCGAAAACAAAGTAACGTGGGGACCAGCCCCTCCTTCCTGCTCTGCCTTTTGGTGCTCCGGTCTTCCCAGCCACGTGCCGGGCAGCAGGCCTGTGTCTGTTTCCCTCGGAACAGTGAGCCCCAAACCTTCCAGGATCTCCACGTATTCTCTCAGGTCATGGGTTTACTCAAGCTATACCCCCAAGTCACCTGTGACAAAGCTCTCCTATAAAGGGATCGCCTAGGGATGCTGAGGAATCCCTCGGGGTCGCTATGGTTGACATCAAGTATCTGATATGCCATGGAGGACCTTCCTGGCCCACAAGCTGGAAAAACTGGTTCTCTGCTGAAAGTCTATGTGGGAGAACTGGTCCAACAGACTATAAGGGGGGACGAGGGGGTCACTGGCATAAATTCTTACCATCAAATAACCACGGGTGATGCCTGCTGTGCCAACTCTACCGGGCAACAGTCATTTGGGTTTGGGTTTTGTTCTGCTGCAGGCTTAGTGGGAAAGCTCCTTTCAGACTGTCTGCCTCAGTCTAAGGAGTCACCACACACAGTCACTGTCCCTTCAGAGGGCGTTGAGAGTCACTGCCTGAATTTCAGATCGAAAAGAGAACCTTGGGACTACTACCAGTGGTTGGTTCATGAACTTTAAGAATCTCCTGGGATTACTGTAATTCAGCTCGAAAACCTGGTTAAGTTCCAGGAAATATATATGGTTTGCCAAGATTTTTGAGAAAGTTCAAAAATCCCCCAGAGAAGCTGTGAGATATTTAAAGAAATTTGCAAGGACTGCAAATGCCTTTGGGTCTCAAACTCTTCACTGTCTAACCTGCCATGGAGAACCTGCCCATGTCATCCCCCATAGATAAGCTCTTCCACCTGTCCCTCATGAGTCTCCTCTAAAGACCCCTCACTTGGTACTCACAAGGTCCCCATCTTTGCCAGTCTCAAAAGCAGATGGATTATTTCTTATTCCTCTCCACAGCAATTAAAACCCTCCATCCATGTGCTAGGTGTGTTACGTCAAAAAGACACCCCTCGGGCCCTCCCTGGTGGTGCGACAGCTTAAAGCACAGCATCAGGAAGCTCGCCCCAGCCGCTTCACCATGAGTTCGATCCCCGACTAGGGAGGTGACCCACATGGCGTGGCAGATCTCTCCTGACCTGCCCACTGCTCCCCTCAGCAGTGTACTCCGTCGATCTACCTGTTCTGCTCCCCTCTCTGTCTCTGGTGAATCTTCCCACCACTCCTGCACCTCTTGCCTGTACTCCAGTTCTGTCTGTATAAATAAATAAATCTTAAAAAAAAAGAGGATATCCCCTTACCCCTTGTGAACCTCAACTCTACTGGTGTCCCGTAGAGTTGGCAAAGCAGGCATCACCCATGGACCATCCAATTGTAGCTATGGAAACACCTAGCAGGCTCCAAATTGATCATTCAATGCATTTGCTGCAGCTACCTGGGTATGATTCTCAAACCCTGAGCACGACAATCTGGAGGCCATGCCCTGGGCGCTGACTTCACATCCAGCTCCCTCACCTGCTGGAAGTAGCTGAAGGCACCGGCCACTGTCTGGGGGTCAGAGAGCTGAAGCTGCTTGGCAAACTCTTCCCGGCTGATCATCCGACTCCGGCCCGGCTCTGCCCCAGAATCCACACAGCCAGGGGACAGCCTACAATGGGATTATTGAAGGCAGAGAGCTGACTCGGTTTCTTTCTGGGCATACTATACCCAGCAGGACGCTGGCCCCAGCCCCGGTCCAGAGGGTGTTTTTCTAAGATGTGCTCTGACTCACAGTCCCTGGAGAGCCCTTCCTAATTTTTCCAGCGGGGTTATTGCATCTCTTTCCCTTCTGTCCCTCTTCCTCCCACCGCATGGTCTTTGAGCAAGTTCCCCTATTTTCCCATTTTTTTTTTCCCTTCCATTTTCCCATCTCTCCTTGCTTCCACTACACCTGACTCTGCCCACTCCCTCACCTTCAAGGTCACTTACCCAGCCTTCCGAAGCACCTTTCCCAGTTCCCAGAGCTGCGGCTCAAAGGCCACCTTCAGCCGGCCCACCACAATCACAGGCAGGCTCCCTACAAACTCACACTCAGTGGCTGGAATGCCCAGGGCCCTAGAGGATGAAGAGGGGAAAGAAGGAAGAACTTTCTAGGTTCAGGGTGACTCCAGCCTGCTGGCTATGAAGAGAGCTGGCTCCATGGCTACTTCCTACTCTTAGCTGTCCAACAGCCTTTCCCACTGCCCACTCCCACCTTTGTCTCAAAACCTGAACCCTCCTCTCTCTCTGCCATGGTTCCTTTGACCTGTATATCAGTTCCAGGAAATACTTTGCAGACACTCACTGTGCCATAACCCTCTGGACATTGTTGGCATAGAGGGTGGGGTCCTTGCTTTCCTCGGGGCTTGGGTGGTACACGGGGAGGAACTGAAACACAGACATAGTTCCCGTTGGGACTTCAAAGCTAGGGGTGACCACCACTCCCACCCTTTTTTCCACAAGGGTCAGGAACAGTCCATTCTGGTGATCATACCTCTACGTCCACAATGCTGCAGGGCTGAGAGGCAGTGAGCCAGAGAACTTTGAGTCTAGGAGAAGAGAAACCTCAGATGCTCACCCACCCTGAGAAATGGGCTCCTTCCTCCCCAGGAGAGGAATGGGAAAGCTCAGCTTCTGGATATGTAAATGATCCTAGTGTTCAGGCAGCTGGGTAAATACAGTTGGGAGACCATTGCCAAGGGCCAGACAGGTGGTGGGGAAGAGCAGTGCTGTGGGGATGTGCCAGAAGAAGAGGTGCAGGAGGCAGCGGGAACCCCAGAAAAGGCAAGAGGCATGCCTTGTGGTAGGATGTGTCAAAAGAAGGAACCCACGAGGGAGAAATCAGTCACAAATACAGGAAAGTTAAAAGGAGTCATAATCTCAGCAGGAATGACTGGGGGGTGGGGCGTGGGGTAGGGAGGCGCTAGCTGGAAGCACTTCCAGATTAGACTGGTAGACCAGAACAGAACAGAGCGAAAAGAACACCCCTTTTCTCTAGAGTTCTCTCAGTCTGAGAATGAAGATGGATTGTTCACCTTGTCTGGAGACTGGAAGATGGGTCAGGAATTCTCTGATGGACCCTGCTCCCCACCCTCAACCCCAGGAACACCAGAACTCACACTCCAGGGCCCCTCCACGCCCAGCTGGTAGTATCCTAGGGGAGAAGCAGAGGTAGAAGAACAGAATTACCTTTTTTCCTCTGGAACTCTTTGCTTTGGGGCTCAGACAACCCCCCCCTTGGGCCCCACCCCCATATGCACATCCCCTTAGGGCACTAACATCACTGATAGCCATTAAGGGTAGCTTCCTGACTATCAAGGGGCTTCCCCAACCCCAAATAAGACTCACCAGACTGTTGGGGTAGCGGATGAGGACAGGCTGTACAGGCACTCCTGCGATGAAGGCTCCTAAACCCCATTTCATGCCCCCCACCCCATCCCAGACAGAAGTTAGTGTGTGGAGGTGGGGCTGGAGGGCCTTAGAGCAGGGATCTAGAGTAGTTCTCAAACTAGAACTCCTCCATCTCTGTGCTTCTCTGACTTCCAGAGACTTTTCGGTGTCAGCCAGTAGGTTTCCCATCTCCCTCCCCTCCTCACCCCTCCACTTCTTGGGTTATTCAAATCTGGGGTTCCAGTTTCCTACAGTCCTGTCACTCCCTATAGTTTTACTCACCTGGCTTGAATTTAAGTAAAGCCTTCTTATTGGAACAGGTGCCCTCAGGAAAAAACAGTACCTGGAGTGGGAGGACCAAGGAACACACTAAGGTGGGGACTGAAGGGGCGGAAAAGCGACCTGTCCCTTCAGAGCACACCTGAGGCAGGGGGCGAGCCTTAAGCCCCTTTACCTACCTGAGGCCACTTGCCTCTTGAAGTCGCCCGCCTCTTGACCTCCTCCACCACTCTACGCCGAGAAGCTGGGTCATGCCGGGATACTAGGATGGCTTGGTTAAAGCGGAGAAGGGCTGGGGCAGGAGAGGATACAAGGGGTCACTTGGTTCTACCTGGGGACATTGACATCTGCAGCCTCCTGGTCCAGCCAGTAGGAGATGTGCTCACCTACCTCTGCCAGGGGACTCTCCTTTTGTGGCAAGTTTTCCTTTGCAGGAAATTGACCAGACCTCCCTCCACCACCTCCTCTAAGTCCTAGCTTAAGTCTAAGAGGTAGGTTCACAAACGCTGTTGATTTGCCAACATCTGTCAATATCCCTTCTCACTTCTCCCTAAACTGCCCTTCCAGGCCAGTTGCGTCCAGAGTGGGTCTTTTTTTTTGTTTTTTTAAATCTTGGAGTGGTTGGCCCTCCCTGGTGGCGCAGCGGGTTAAAGCACAGCACTGAGAATCTAAAGCCGCTTCCTCATGAGTTCGATTCCCGCCTGCCCCGGAGGAGACCACATGGCACGGCAGACCTCTCCTGACCCGCCCGCTGCTCCCCTCAGCAGTGTACTTCGTCGATCTGCCTGTTCTGCTCCCCACTCTGTCTCTGGTGAATCCTCTCACCCTCCACATCTCTGGCCTGTATCCCAGTTCTGTATGCACAAATAAAATCTTTAAAAAAAAAAAAAAGGCATTTTTTAAATCTTGGAGTGGTTATGTCACCCCTTTACCCTGTTAAAATTCTCACCTCCGATGACAGGCACGGAAAGGTTCTCAGCTCGGGATACAACTTTGGGGAGGTCACAGGGCAGTAGAACGATGGGGTCAAAGAAGGTTGAGTGGGGGGCAGCAACCAGAACAGGAGCTTGAAGGCGAGAAGCCCGCTGGCCCCGGACCCGAATGCGGAGGAAGCCCAGCAGGAAGAAGAGCAGGCGGCTGAGGCCCAGCACCCCATTATGGCACACAGTCCTGGAGAGCAAGGCTGGACTCAGTGGAGGCAGTGATTCTGATGCTCACTCACCCCCAAGCCTTAGGCAGGTGGCCTCTTTTGACCTTAATGGCTCCAGCCACTTTGGAACACGACAGGATACATCACTTGGGTACCAGGCTGAGCCTGGCTGATTCATCCTACCCAACTCAGGTTGGGTGGGAGTGCTTCAGAAAAACACCCCTCCCCACAACCCCACCCCCAAGAGGGAGTAGACTGAATAGCAGGAAAGAGAAGTGCAAAATAGGGTCTGAGGGCTGATTCCCCAACTTACTTCCTCCATCCAGTAACTGGCTCCCGAAGCTGCTCCTCAGAAAGACCAGCAACTTGCAGCCAGGCAAAAGGCCAGAGGAGAAAGAGGACAATAAAGGCCAGAAGCACTCGGATGGGGGCCAGCAGCACCCCTAGCAGGCAGAACTGCAGAGGGTGAGAGAGAAAGCCACCTCAGACCTGGAGGGATGCCCTTTCCATGGCTTCCCCTCTCCCACAGAGGACTCCGAGCAGAAAGCCATCCTCCACTCTCCCCATAGGTCAGAAGCCAGAGGTTGGGAATACAGGATGCAGCTGGGATCTTAGGTGGATGGGGGTGTGGAATGAAGATTCCAAAGAGAGCAAGAGCAGAGAAGACTCAGGAATCTCATCTTCCTCTGTCAGCTGGCCTCCACCCACCTATCAAATGAATGTCATAAAATGCCTCTAGCACTAGGAAAGCTGCTAGGAGGACTGAATGATAAGGATTAAAGGTGCCCAGCACAGTGCTGGATGTAAGGTAAGCTAGAGGTGACTTCTCCTCCCCCACGCCCCATTCCACAAATAGCTCCACAGTCCAAAAGAAATCAGGTGCATAGCTCATTCCAACTCTGGGCCTTGGAGGCAGAACCATGAACACACTGAGAGGTCCACTTTTCAGACCCAGGCTGGTCTCTATTCTGCCCAACAGTGCTTCCTTAGTCCTGGGGGATGAGCTGGAGCTACAAGGCAGGCCAGGGGTTGCCAGGAGCCAGGGTGACTCCAAGGGCTGCTCAGGGGAGAACGCAGGTAAACAAACGGAGCCCCTGGAGCCAGCCTCCAGGGAGGTGAAAGCAGCCGAAACCTTAGACACTCCCCTCCTACAACACCTCTCCGTTTCCCCAGGCTGGTGCAGCCTTCGGCTTCCCGTAGTCAACCCCCTCCACAGCTTCCCTCCCCCCCACCCGGAGGTGCTGCAGTGCGGGGGGAGGGGGGAGTGGAAAGAGGGGGTGTAGGAAGGGCATGGGGACACAGGGCCCAGCAACCTCTTCCTTCAAAGTCAGAGGCTAGGAACACTCATCAGCACGCCCCTGCCCCTAGCCCCCACTAACCACATCCTCCAACTCCCCCCTTAGCCCACCGGCCCCCGCAAAACGCAATCCGCATCCAGCCTGCTCAGCCCCTGGTTCCCCTGCCATTCTCCATCCGCACCCAGTCAATTCTCGCA